ACAGCTGCAGTCGCCGGCGGTTCCTGCGCAAAGTTTGCCATATTGCCAAGGTTGCAGGCAGCTTTACCTGCAGCAATTGCATGTTGATTGCCCTCTTAAAAGACAAAGTCCAGCAACTGGAGGAACGTGTAGCTACGCTCCAAAGAATTAGAGAGCTGGAGCTCTTTTTGGAAGCAACAGAGCACACTGTCTCCACCAAGGAGGAGACAGGGGACTCCCCTGAGAAGGAGGCTAGTTCACCAACACAGGAGCCAGATATATGGAGAAACGTGACTCAAAGAAGTAGGAGGCCCAGGGTTCGCTCTGATTGTTTAGAAATACACAATCGCTTTGAGGTCCTCTCCCCTAGCATGGAAGACGAAGAGCAGACTCCATTTGAGGATCTTTCCCTCATTACAGTCGATCAGGTATATGAAGACGAGCAGCAAAGTCAGTCCTCAGGGAATGTGCAGGCGACCTTGGAGCGGACAGCTCACGGAAGAACCCCGACCAAACCTAAGAGGAGGCATGTAGTGGTGATAGGGGATTCCCTACTGAGGGAACAGAAGCAGTGATCTGTGGGCCTGACAAGATGTCTCGGGAAGTGTGCTGTCTCCCCGGGACTAAGATCCAAGATGTAACTGAACGACTGCAAGGAATCATAAAACCCACTGACAAATACCCCTTCCTCTTGGTTCATGTGGGAACCAATGAGACTGCAAGCAATAGCCTCCAGAAGATCAAAAGAGACTGCGAGGCTCTCGGCAGGAAATTGAAGCAATTAAATGCACAAACTGTCATCTCATCTGTCCTCCCAGTTGAACGACGTGGCTCAGGGAGAGAGGGAAAAATAGTGGAAGTGAACACCTAGGTCAGCCTAGGGTGAACACCTGGATAAGCGGAAAGCTGGGAACGGGCTATCTCCGCCACCCAAATGTCCCCCTGGACCCAGGCACGGGCACAACCCCCTCTCAGGTGTTGACCAAACCATCGAGTCCCTGGATTCCTTTAACGGAATACCCTTCACATAGGGATGGTGAGAGCGTTCCCCCACTCCTATCACCTGAACTAGAGCCTATTCTCAACCTTACAAGTTGTGACGATTTGCTATGTGGTAGGCGAAACCCAAATGGCAACAGCCAATCAGCTAAGTGGGGAAAATTGCTGCTGTGCCCCTGTCCCAACAACAGATGACACAAGGTGGCATAGTAAGGTCAAGCACAAAGCCCTAAAAGTAGGGAGAGGTGGGCAGGTTTTCTAATGCAGTGGCCCAAAGAGGAAACTCAGGGTCAAGTGCTGGTAAAATGCGGTCTTGACTATGCTACCACTCAGTGGATTTGTAACTGGCTGACTGACCGAACCCAAAGGGTGCTCATCAATGGTTCCTCTTCATCCTGGAGAAGAGTGACTAGTGGGGTGCCACAGGGTTCTGTCTTGGGCCCAATCTTATTCAACATCTTTATCAACGACTTGGATGATGGACAGGGCATCCTGATCAAATTTGCAGATGACACCAAACTGGGAGGGGTGGCTAACACCCCAGAGGACAGGATCACACTTCAAAACGACCTTGACAGATTAGAGAACTGGGCCAAAACAAACAAGATGAATTTTAACAGGGAGAAATGTAAAGTATTGCACTTGGGCAAAAAAAATGAGAGGCACAAATACAAGATGGGTGACACCTGGCTTGAGAGCAGTACATGTGAAAAGGATCTAGGAGTCTTGGTTGACCACAAACTTGACATGAGCCAACAGTGTGACGCGGCAGCTAGAAAAGCCAATGCAATTCTGGGCTGCATCAATAGGAGTATAGCATCTAGATCAAGGGAAGTAATAGTGCCACTGTATTCTGCTCTGGTCAGACCTCACCTGAAGTACTGTGTCCAGTTCTGGGCACCACAGTTCAAGAAGGACACTGACAAACTGGAACGTGTCCAGAGGAGGGCAACCAAAATGGCCAAAGGCCTGGAAACGATGCCTTATGAGGAACGGCTAAGGGAGCTGGGCATGTTTAGCCTGGAGAAGAGGAGGTTAAGGGGTGATATGATAGCCATGTTCAAATATATAAAACATATAGAGGAGGGAGAAAGGTTGTTTTCTGCTGCTCCAGAGAAGTGGACACGGAGCAATGGATCCAAACTACAAGAAAGAAGATTCCACCTAAACATTAGGAAGAACTTCCTGACAGTAAGAGCTGTTCGACAGTGGAATTTGCTGCCAAGGAGTGTGGTGGAGTCTCCTTCTTTGGAGGTCTTTAAGCAGAGGCTTGACAACCATATGTCAGGAGTGCTCTGATGGTGTTTCCTGCTTGGCAGGGGGTTGGACTCGATGGCCCTTGTGGTCTCTTCCAACTCTATGATTCTATGATTCTATGATTCTATGTATCTGTAGATGCTATATTAACCAATATATGTATTTTATGCATACTTTACCGTTATTTGCTTTTTTTTTTTGCACAGAAAACTGGGCTGAGTAAAATTCAGAGAAGTGTGACATTTCAAAGGATAGCTGAGTTTTGGTTTGCTTTTCAGGAAGTATGATTTAGCTTGATTTACCTATAAATGCAAATTGAACTGAATTTCTTCTCCATCTGTGACACCCTCCCAATCCATGGCAACAGCCTTAGACCTTGGACACAGACTTTGACAAATCAGCACCAGACGTCCCTTGACTGTCTTAGTAAGGAGCCATTGGGGAACCTTCTTCTGTACAGAACTGCAGATATGACAAAAGGATGCAAACTGCACAAAGATGAGTTGGAATGTCACAGAATGTATAAACTGCCATCCAGGAGTTATTCTACAACCCTGCAATTATCTGGGATGTCTACATAAACTGTTCCTTGCATCCCCCAGTACCTGCATTTGAAGATCTGAGGTACATGCAACTCTTATGAGCTTCCATAGAAAGGGGTGGGTCAGTCTTTTGTTGCTGTTGCTTATTTAATTTATATTCCACCCTTTTCCCCCAAAGGAGCCCAGGGCAGCAAACAACAAGCATAAATAAAATAAAAATAATTCCAGTATATATGCACACAGGGAAACATCTCAACGTGCTGAAAGAGGAAGGTTTTCAGTAGGTGCTGAGACGATATAAGAGATGACACCTGTCTAATATTCAAGGGGAGGGAATTCCAAGGAGTAGGTGTTAGTTGCTAATAACGGACAAGACATCTTGTCTGAAGAATGTTGATGATGCAGGCACAAAAACATGGGATATCACTCAAAATGCCCTGTCATGAATTGTGAATATGATGTGAGCATTGAAGATGGGTTGGGTGCTTGCCCCATGATAAAAGGAGTACCAAGGGTGAGTGATTTGTGATTTTCCCAATCATATAGACTTCAAAATGCACTAGTGAGCTGGGATGCCTGTGGGACATTGACACGAAAAACATACAAGGACAACTGTGGGACAGATTTAAAATTATGCTACTGACTTCACATCTGACCCGAGTTCTCTAACTGTCACAATGTATAAGTAGAACTGTGGAAAGCAAAGACATCACAAGGACTGATTACATTTAGCTGTACCATCTCCTGTGCTCAGATGTTATTTGTGTCAACACTCCAAAGTTAGTTAGTATGTTGAGTTTTCCCTTTTGATATTTTATTCATCAGTGTGTGAGTGTGCGATTTCTATCTATCCCTCTATCTTAATGGGTAAGGTGAACAGATGCAAATGATATTATGCCAATACAATCATATTAACTGACTACTTCAGAAATACATTACAGTTATTTTCCCAAGCTTAGTTCAAAGAAAACAAAACAATTCAATAAAAGTGCTTGATATTACAATTAGAGCCCTGAATAACTTAGGCCCAGGATAGTTAGAAGACCATCTGTTGGATATATTATCATTATTTTTCAGCTTCTACAGCATAGGTAGGCAAACTAAGGCCCGGGGGGTGGGGGCAGATCCAGCCCAATTGCCTTCTCAATCCGGCCCACAGACGGTCAGGGAATCAGCGTGTTTTTACATGAGTAGAACTTATCCTTTTATTTAAAATGCATCTCTGGGATATTTGTGGGGCCTGCCTGGTGTAGAATGCGTGCTTTTATTTAAGATGCATCTCTGGTTTATTTGTGGGGCACAGGAATTTGTTCATTATTATTTTTCAAAATATAGTCCGGCCCCCCAGAAGGTCTGAGGAACAGTGGACCGGCCCCCTGCTGAAAAAGTTTGCTGACCCCTGCTCTACAGCCACAGCAAGTGCTGCAACATTCCAACAGTTTTACTTTACCCCCAAAGGCACACTCCTCCATTGTTTCCGAAGATCACAGGGCGGTTAACAACAAAACTACAAGATGAGAACACGAAATACAAAATAATCACAACAACAACAAACCAATAACCCCCTTCCCACAAAGACTCTTTTAAAAATTATTATTCATTTATTATTATAGGATGCTCATGTATAGCGAGTCAGATCATTGGTCTATTGAGCTCAGTATAGTCTACACCGACAGGCAGCAGCTCTCCAGGATTTCAGAAAGGAAATCTTTTCAAGTCCCTCCTGGAGAGTCTGTGGATTGAATCTTGGACCTTCTGTGTGCAAGGCAGATGCCCTAGCTTTTAGGTACTGAGTGAGGCAAGTAAAAGTCTCTCCTGGAATAAGGCACCTTTCTCCAATGTCTTTGTTTGAATTTGTTGTTATTGTTTTATATTTAAACACTGCTTTCCCCCTTTCAGTCTTTTTAAAACAAACATTGTTGATGGCTCTTACTATGTTGTTCCTCAGCCTGCCCTTTGGATTTCTTTTTAACGAGAGTAGAAATTACCTGATAAATAATGAAGTAAATTTCCACAGTGTATGAAAATTTGATTATTATTATTTTTTACAAAACCACCATGGATGTTCACGAAAGCATACATACCCAAGTGTATACATTTTCTACATTTTGTTTACCCGACTGCTGCCTCATTGATAGTTCTGTTTAAGTACAAATTGGCATGGCTGAACCTCTTTCTCTCTCATACGCGCACACCCACATTGAAATAAATCTATGCCTGTTTTTAATGGGTTGCTTCATTACCGTTCTCCCCATCAGACTTCCTTTCGTGGTCAGTATCGGTGAGGGATAGCGCTGAGTTTGCGCGGCTCGATAAACACGAACTGTGCTCCGATTTCATTCCGGACATCCACATCCTCAAGGCCTGATCAGGTGAGGCTCCTCCTTCTGTCTCGGTATCGACATCAGAACCCATCTCTATCGGATAGCCACACTGGGAGACAGCATGCATGTCTGGCTGGTAGCCAGTGCACAAGATATGTGGAGTATCATGAAATTCCATCTCTGCAAAAACAAACACACACCAAAGAAACAGATTTAATAATGCATTTACAGACACACACACAAAGAGAGAGAGAGAGAGAGAGATCATTCAGCCTTTGCCTATTTTCCAAAAGAGTCACTCATAGCATCTTCCATGGCTCCAGCTTTTTTTCTTTTTTAAAGTGTTATGGCCTGTCATTCCCTTGTCCCTTCCATCTTCCAGCCCCAGAACTTCCTCCAGAGCTAATTGTGCATATTCTGCCAGCTGGGTCCAAGGAACAAGGGCTGCAGGCAGCTCACTCAAGCTCACCCACTTCCAGGCATGTTCCTGTTGACAGCAGCCTGCTGGCAGGATCAGATCTATTTGTTGTAGCAGGAGCTATAGGGTGACTTGAGCCCAGGAAGTCTGATGAATGCTAATTTGACAACACATTTCAAAAATAGGCAGAATGTGGCCATCTATTGATATTTTAATTTTGCAGGTGGCATATGTGACACTGTAAATATATTTGGAGACAAGGCTTTTGCTGGTACAGAGCAAAACTGTTGTGGGAGAGCTGAAAAAAAGGATACTTCCTTTCCCTTCAAACGCTTTGCATTGCCTTCACAGAGTATTTCCTTAAATATGCATGCTTTTGTAGTGCTCCAATTCCCACAGGATGTATTTTCTTTGAAGCTCTTATAGTGCCATAAATGGTGGTTTTTAGCTTTGCACATCTAACCTTGTTACCTACAATACTGCATATTCCCTGGAGGAGATAAAACTCAAAGTGGATTTATGATATTCTTAGGCTCTCTTCAAAACACACATAAAGCCAGCATGTTGGGAACCATTTTCATGTGATGGAAAGCCACAGTGCAGATGCGTGCAGATGAACAGCATGGCTACATAAGCTGGGACATCTGAACACGCATTGCAAGGATGGGGAACCTTAGGCTCCAGGGATGAATGCAGCCTTACAGGCCTCTAGATCTTTCTCCAGGCTCTCTCAAGTCTTTTGCCAGCCACACACCTCACCAGCTCTGCTCCACAATGTCTATGTCTAGCTGGAAAGAGTCTTTAAACTGTGACAATGCTCCTTTGTGGTCTGGGTGAAGGGGTATGTGTGTGCCTAAATATGCATGTGAGTACCCTCCAACATTCCTCAGATGAAAATAGGGACGTTCTATTCTACCTCAGTGTGCCCTCTACGCCCCTTATATACACACACTGCCAATGGAATAACAGGCCGAGCAGCCCCGATAGCTGTTACTAAGAGGAGTATGTAACAATACCATACCAGCAAACATCTTGGTTATACGTGGGAGCCTTATCTGGTTAAAAATCCATCAGACCGCCTCGGGCATCAGAGGAGGCACACGTGCTGAATGTTTACGGGGAACACTTCCATGCCAACAATGTAGTCTCTATGGTCGGCGGTTATGACCACACAAGCGGGGGGCCCTTAGGCCATTCCTGCCACCACCAGTACCGTAGTTGGATACATTAAAAGGTGCTGTCTGGCAGAGCCGAGGAGTGCAGCAGCAACAGATGGTGCACCACCTCTTCCCATGAGTCCTGCTATGCCACCATGAGAGGTGGAGCCTCCTCCTCCTCCTTCCTTGTCTCCACTGTCTATGCTCCCTTTCCCCGCTCACAGAATTTGGAGCTCTGCATGACACAATGAAAAGCCATGGCAGCTTAAAGGTTTTCATGATGCTCATAGCATTTTGGGGGCAGTTGGAGACTATGCAAGTGTGTAGAAACATCTGAATTTTCAGTGGCTGTAATGTCTACTATACAATGGTAAGAGTTGCATCTATTGTGCCACCTATATTTTTTTTTAAATCTGGCCCCACCTACAATTTAGGGTTGGTAAAGGTAAAGGTACCCCCTGACCATTAGGTCCAGTTGTGGACAACTCTGGGGTTGCAGCGCTCATCTCGTTTTACTGGCCAAGGGAGTCGGAGTTTGTCCGCAAACAGCTTCCGGGTCATGTGGCCAGCATGACTAAGCCACTTCTGGCGAACCAGAGCAGCACACGGAAACGCTGTTTCCCTTCCCGCCGGAGCGATACCTATTTATCTACTTGCACTTGACGTGCTTTCGAACTGCTAGGTGGGCAGGAGCAGGGACTGAACAACAGTTGGTAGCATGTCTCAATTCCAGTCTTCTCAATTTCTCATTTTTCCTATTTTAAATTCAATTCTCAATGTTTCCACATCAGCTTGTGAATTTTTTTTTTATTATTATTATTATTATTATTATTATTATTATTATTACAGTCGTAACTTGGTTCTCAAATTTAATCCGTTCCGGGAGTTGGACTCCCAAAACAGTTCAAAAACCAAGGCATGGCTTCCGATTGGCTGCAAGAGCTTCCTGCAAGCCAATTGGAAGTCACAGAAGCCATGTCGGACGTTCAGCTTCCAAAAAACGTTTGCAAACCAGAACACTCACTTCTGGGTTTGCAACGTTCAGGAGCCGATTTGTTTGACAACTAAGGCATTCAACTACCAAGGTTCGACCGTACTATTATTATTATTATTATATCATTCATCATCATAAAAACTCATTAGCATTTTAATGCGAATTGCAATTTTGTTTCTTTCAGCTTCGGTTACTATGAACATTATTGTAAAGCAAGTCCCCTGTATGAGCACCTTCCCCTAACATATGCATTTTTATTGATGATGATGATGATGATGATGATGATGATGATACCCCACCCATCTGACTCAGCTGCCCCAGCCACTATAGGCAATTTCCAACAAAATATAAAAACACAATGAAATGTCAGACATTTAAAGCTGCCTTCAGATTTCTTTGGAAAGTCATATACCGTATTTTTTGCTCTATAAGTCTCACTTTTTCCCTCCTAAAAAGTAAGGGGAAATGTGTGTGCTTCTTATGGAACGAATGCAGGCTGTGCAGCTATCCCAGAAGCCAGAACAGCAAAAGGGATTGCTGCTTTCACTGCGCAGCGATCCCTCTTGCTGTTCTGGCTTCTGAGATTCTGAATATTTTTTTTCTTGTTTTCCTCCTCCAAAAATTAGGTGTGTCTTGTGGTCTGGTGCGTCTTATAGAGCAAAAAATACGGTAGTTGTTTATCTCTTTGTTTACCTTCGTAAACATTCTTTTAATAGAGAACTGCATCACAAAATCTGGAGATGTGTGAATTTTGAAGGGTGACTATGTATCGGTTCTCATACTGTTTCAGAAAGTGCAAGTTTCACAGATTCAGCTTTAAATGCTAACTGAATTGAATCTTTCCCTCATCCCTATCTACCACTCACAGGTGGCCCCTGGAAGACTGCCCACAAGGGAATGTGGAGTTTAGATGGAAGGAGGTTCCCTACCCCCAGGGGAATGTAGTAACTAATTAAGTGTGTGTGTGTGATTCTGAGAGAGAGAGAGAGAGAGAGAGAGAGAGAGAGAGAGAGACTTCCCTTGACAACAAAATGGTGCAATGACTACCCACTTCTAGCAATGGAGGCTGGTCCACCAGGGTGAAGCTCCCACCTGTCCACCTGCCTTACCAACCAACCAACCCAGCAGGCCGAACTGCCTGTTATCTTCCTCGTCCTTCATCTTGGTGTTGCCTTAGCAGGTAGGAGGATGGGGACAAAGCTGGAATTATTTGGCTCTGCTTGCCATTGGTTCCGGCTCCACCTATGGCTGACCTCTCTGCCTCAGCCCTACTAGTCTCAGTGAGCACCAGCTGCCACTGCTTCCTCATAGTAGTGCTCCTCTCCAAAGGTCCAGGTGCCCATCCTCACCCTCTTCTAACAAACCATTCCACTCCCTCTCCCGAAGTTCTCAATCTTTTTTCTTTTCTTTTCCAACAGATGCTCAGCATTTCATATCCACTGAGCATGCCAACACCTCCTTTCTGATTTCTCAGTGGCCCTCGTGGGTTTTATTGCTATTTTTGTAGGGATTGGAACCCTAGTCTCCCAGTTCCTAACCCAATGCTCTAACCACTACACCAGAGTGGCTCCCAATCCCTGGCCCTGAAGGGAGAGAAAAGCAGTAGTGCTCCTAGATTGTAGTAACTAGAGTGGTAGGATTTAAAAGCTCCCCTTAATCAACAACTTTCCTGATTACTAAATGAATAAATTTGGGGCTGAGTGGGATGAAATCCTCTAATATGAAGCAAAACTAACCAATGAAGACACACACACACACACACACACACACACACACACACCCAGCCCCACAAAAAAGCACCACCGCAGAGCAACAATAAGGTCTCCTTTAATCCCAACAATTGGCTGATAGCACTAGAAATGTTTGCACTCAAATTCCACAGCTGCATCCCTGGAGATGAGCGCAGGGCTTCCAGCCATGTGGCCCCACCTTTAGAATTCATGCCTTGGGGCAACACATCGAAGTCAAGCTCAAGCAACCTCAAAGACAGGGAAGGGAAACCACATTTATTTTGTTTAGTATTTTGCTTCCTTTGCGTCTTCCACCCACCCACCCACCCGTATTAATCTTAAGGCCCTAGGGGAGAACTTGTCTATGGAGTGGCAGATCTAATTTGTGTTTTAGTCTATGTAATTGCTGCTTCAAGCTGCTTCTGCAATAGCTGCCACAGGACGAACGGAGCAGACGCAAGGGAGACATTTCCCCCGCCTCTTTTTGACACTTCAAATGGAAGTGGGGAATGGGCCTGATTTAGAGTACAGGGAAGCAAGTACAGAGCGGAATCCTGTGGCAAAACTTATCGCTACCATGGCTACTTCTATTGGACGTTTGCTTGGCGTCAGAGCGAAATATTGCATGTGGCAGTTGAGTCCAGGAAAGGGGCTTGTTTTAACTTTTGAGACTTCAGAACACACACACACACCATCCATTGCAGACAGTTCCAAGCAGACAGTCTAATACTGTGATTAAGATCAAGAGAGTCTGTAGGGAAGGAGCCAGTCTTTGAGGCGTATGCCATTTAGGGCACTAAACACTGGTGTGTTTACAAACCAACCCAGATGCTTGGAAAGTTGATGTGAATCTTAATCTGCTTTAGTTTTTTCAACATTTA